TGAACGAGCAATACGGTGGCTTGAGATCCAAACTTACCGTACCCCGTCCTATCCACACACCGGCGACCGCTAACCTTATCGCATCCACATCCAGTGACCCACCACCCGCCCTCCCTCTTCCAACAGCAAGCCGGCCACAAACACGTAGCCTCACCGTCACATCTACCGACCCACTATCCACCGTCCCCCTCCCACCCGCAAGCCGCCCACAAACACGCGCTTGCACAAACTATGACTCACTTCACACGCCGTTGGTCTAACTGTTCCTGATCGTTTAAACTGTCTACTCTAATCCTTCTCCCTCATTCCCTTCATTTCGTCTGCGGAAGAGCACGTGTCACAAGCTCGAAAATTCACAAGTACATCCTAATTTTTCCGAAGAACCTCTTCTTTTCTACATCTGAAAATATTCAAGAAACCGATGGGTAGTTATTTCGAGGAACAATGCAAAACACTCCGAGAAAAAACATACAAAACAGGTAGTCTCAAAACTTGCATGACGGTTCTGGCTTTTTATCCGGGTTCGGAATTACAAAAGCTAGAAAGTGTGTATTATTCATCCCCTATCAGGAATAGAAAACATGGTAAGTTTACTTTGCGATTGGACTCGGGAATTGTCATTCCCGACAAACTGGCGCAATTAAATTACACTTTGCATCATTTTCCCCCAAACTTCTCCCATTATTTCAAACTGGCGATCTTAAAATAGGAAAACCTATTCAACGACATTTACTCTTTTGCTAATCCGAATTCACGAGGTAAGCATTCCAGTAGAGCATAAGGTCACATAGTTCGTGTTGGTTATTATTTTATTGACTGTGACTTGCCTACTTTTAAAAGCCTGCCGCATAATTTGAACCCTATCTTTGTCCTCCATTCTAACTTAGCAATTGGACACGAGTAAAAACTACCCTACTCAGACCTATAATTCTACTTCTGTCGCTCAGGAAATGCCAATAGTACCGACCAATCGCCCCTCACAGTCACGAAAGCCCTACCCAGCTGAAATATCAAAGGGAGGAGATGAGCTGCTTTATACGGTACAGGTAATGCTCCCCTTACCTCACAAGGTTTAGCGGAGACTGTTTCGAGGAGTTTGTTTTGAAACAGCAAGTATTTTCGAGGTCTTAAGGAGGGACTGTCAATGAGAAGGATTAGAATGAAAACAAATCCACGAAAAGTAGACCGTCGACCTGCTCCGGAAGGTGATATTAACCGTAGAGATTGGAGGAAGGAGGCAGGAATTTTTTCATTTGAAATTCTCTGGCGTCAACCGCATAGCGTGATTAAAGCGCTACTTGTTTTTGTAAATCAAGCCTGCCCTACGCTTGGCTGTGCCAAAGACGCGTGCCTCGATAATAAACGACTATCCTCACGTACCCGCCAATTTACTAACCTTGAAGTAAGCACGTCCTCACTGACAAGAATAGAAGGATAGGCGTTAACAATAAAATCGACCTTGCCTAAGGGTTTTACTAGCTTCCGGAAAAACACAGCAGGAGCTATAGAGGAGGCAAAAATACACCAACACCAATACACAAATAGGGAGTTCAGAAGTAAACACCTCTATCTCCCTCAAATAAACTGAACTAAAATGAACAGAGACTGATCTAGTAAACACTGGCCGATGATCATAAAACTAACACAAACTTTATTACTGATTTGCAATTTAAACAGACACAAAGCAACAGCAGTAACAGACGAAACCGCTATCCGACTGAGATAACTGGACTTGTGCATACGAAAGAACCTCCTGCAAGTTCAAAGACAGTTCCAGAGCCCACACTGATTTAGGTATCCGACTGTCTAGTAAGAACCACAGGGCTCACAATCTACGTGTGAACGTGCTTTATAGCATTATGACATTTCAGAAAGAGTACTTACAGTAGTAGTAATTTATGGTTAATAGCAGATCTTATCTAAATTTTAGTAGGTTTATCATCAAATCCTCTAAGATTGCAAATTTGGAACTTGATTAATGGCAACGAAGACCTCAACACTCTTAAAATTCTATACAAATTGTGGGAGATACTTGGGTTTAGAACGTTGTAAGGGAAGTCCGAAAGTAGCGTGTATGAAGGCTTTTTCTGCATAAAAACAACTACTGCCTGACCGTGCTTGGATCGTTGAAGGCCACCCTTTATTTTTATAAAGTTAAACAAAATTGGAAGTATCCGAGTGTTCTGGACATGCATATACAAGATAATGAGTTCTCCCCTCACCAATAAATAGCCGTTATTTTCAGTTTTATATAATAGAGCAAATAGGAGTGTCTGGGATCGAGGTCGCAGTCAAACCTTACTTTACCATGGAAATCGTCAATGACAAAAGTAACGCTAAATTAGGTCCGTTTTTCCCCTGTTTTTTAAGCGTCCTGACCCGATATCGACGGAAGTTAAACGCCTTCAAGAAGAGCTTGCTCAAAAGGACCGCGTTATTAAAGATTTGCAAGTAAGTGCATCCCCTCTCCTATAACATGTCATTACGATTCGAAAATGTTCATTCGTCACGAGGAACCACAGGCCTCACAATCTACGTGTCTACCTAAGTGAATGTGCTTTGTAGCATTAGAGCATTTGAGAAAGAGTACTTACAGTAATACTAATTTACGGTTAATAGCAGAACTTATCTAACTTTAAATAGGTTTATCATCGAACCCCCTAAGATTGCAAATTTTGGACTTGAGTAATAGCAACGAGGACGTCTACATTCCTAGCATCACATTTACATTGTGGTAGAGACTTACTTAAAAAAATAACAACCGCTGCCTGATTGTTCTTGGACAGTTGAAGGTTGCCCTTTATTTTTTTAAAGTTCAAGTCCAATTTCGTCATAAAATTTGCGCTACTTCTTGGCCATACTGTACATGATCACTGGGACTATTCAACGTCTAGGTTGCGGTTACTGTCCTATCCAACTCCAAACTCTCCAGACGCAGTGGGTCACGTGGGCCGGGCAGGGACTATTAACCGCCGGCTACTACCTTGACCGGCCCGTCACTTGGCGGTTGACGGAAACTAAAGGCAGCGGCTGTCAAAAAGTCTGAACCGGAGTTCTAGGCGGAGTCAGGACCCAGTTTCAGAACTGTGTTTTTTTTCTGGATTGTATTTCTCAGCTGAGTTGCCTCCTATTACGTGGGAATGACTTTTGCCGATTACTTTTGATTCCAGAAAGGGCCGCTCCCAGCTGGCTTGGATCTCCGGATCTAGAGCTTACGGTGACAGGTCAGCAGTCGAGAAATGCCAAACGGAAGCTTTTACCTCCGGCCCCTAATCAGGAGAGACATGGGGGAAAAACCACTCTCACGCAAGATTCGTGGGACAAATAAGCTCCCCTGATCGCAGTTAAAACTGTTTTATTGTGGGCACTGTCACCAAGACAAGAAGCAATGCCCATTGGACATTGATTTTTCACTACTTTGGATAAAATATTGTTGAGTTGTTTGGTATGCAGAGGTAGAGCTGCCGAACTTATAGATGTATTAAATAATTAACGGTAAGGAATCTTTATATGACCTCCTAAAAAAGGACATGAGAACAGGAAACGTCCGCAATGCGGATAGTTTTGCAAAGGTTATAGGCAAATTAGGGTCATAGGATTTCATGACTGCTTATTCAACTGCGTACGAGAGAGGAATGATTTATTTAGAAGGAAATATCTTAACTTTTCAGCAAAAAATTGCTCCTTTCACGGAGAGCAAGGGGTAAGGTAAGTAAGGGCTCATGGTAAAAGGTCAAAGCTAAAAGGTCATAGAATACTCAAAACTAAAGTTTAAAATGATATCCACATCTACTATGGAGACAGGTCAGCTTTCAACTTCTAAATTTCCGCTTCTTCACACGTGACGTAGCGTGCTAGGAATGGGAGTACAGAGTGCTGATATCCGATGATATCGGCACAT